ACCTTTTCTCGCTTCACAGTATGCAACACAATATGCAATATCTAGGCTTCACGATTAATAAATATTCCATCAAAAACTATTTCATTTATCATGTATTTACCTTTCTCATTATTAAAAATTTATTATACTTGTATTTCAAATGTTTGGCAATTAATTTTCACAATTTACTTTGCAACTACTTGCATTAACGAACGGTAATTTAATATTATAATTTACCTTTTGCAACAATGTAATTTGAATTTAAATCGGCCAGACAGTAATGCCAATCGTAAAGTTTAAAATCACTAGGCATTTGATCCAAATTAATTGTGTTGGTATTTGGTGGCTATTGAACATTCGCATTAATATTGTATTTATTGCGAAACACATTTATACCTAAGTTTTATGTAAATGCCTTAAACAGGAACAAAAAGGCAAAAAACCTAAAGTCCGGGCCCTACTCATAAAACCTGAAGGTCTTCTGCATCCTGCAGTTGGCCAAGATCACAAAGAATCAGTCTCGTTCACATGAAAAAGGAAAAACAAAAATTAGAATTGCACATTTAAAATGACTACAAACCAACATCAAAATTGCACAAGTAAATATAACATACATAAAAATGTGTAAATAAGACAAGAATGAGTTTCACAAAAGACGAAATTTAATAAATGAGAGTATTTTTACTTAAAAAGTGTGTTTCGAGTTCGCTTTCAACCCCGTGATCATCCAGAAATTGTACATTTTCTGATGAATTGTTTCAATTAATTGTGTCACACGATCACTGGGATGCGTTAAGCATTGAACCTCTTCTCCACGTTCTTTATGACTAACGAACACATGGCTAGATGTAGGTTCAGCAGAAGTCAAATTTTGTTTACAAATGTCACAATCTGGAATACCAACTTTTTTAAAAGATATCCAGCGACATATGCACTTGCTTGATTTTCTTGATGTTTGGGTTATCCAAACAATCACTAATGTCCTGTTCCTCATCTAAATTTGAATCACTTGTTCTGTTAAATAATTCACAAGATCGCCTAAAGCTTTGCAATGATCTTCCTGACAATTGCTATTCCTAGAAGTAGCAGAACTGAAATGATTAAGAATTTCTGTCTTTAAAGCAGCCACAAATTAGTGACAAGTTGGATTTGTATTTCAAACATCGTGTTGCCTTATTTGACAGAACAAATTCTTCACTGGATCTTGTTATGATCTTGATTTAAGTTCCTCAATGACAGGTATTGCACACCAATCTTTTTTAATACATAATTGATCTAATGGTCGTTCGCCATCCTTCAACAAATTTGAAATTTGTGCGAACTTGGCCGGTTTTAGAATCAATTATTTTCCAATCCCTAATTTTGGGCAAAAGATCAGACCAAAATGACATATTAGGCACGGCACATTTAGAAACTTTTCCCTCTGAAGCATAGTGCTGGCTTCCACTTAGTGAATCAAACAAATTATCGATCATTGAAACAAAATCTGCAGTATCCATCGCTACTGGGGGAGCTGGCCCTTATTAGTGAATGTTTCAATAGCAGCTGCTACTGTTAACTGTTGAGCAGCTACTTTAACTTTCATTTTGACATAGCTGTCCTTAAAATTGAAATATTCATCCCTTAATTTCGGTAGATGTCTGTACGTGCGTGTAGTCTGATGTAAATTAAATTCTTTGTGGATATGTTCAAACTTTGGGACCTTACGCCTTGAATACTCGATAGAGCAATCAATGAGTGCATCGCGAGTATTTTTTAGTAAATGAGGTACGTGAAAAATTGTACACATTGTGACGGGCTTGGGAGATTTTCAAAATTAACCTTTGTTAATTTATTATATATAAAGCTGTAAAACTCTTGTCGTGGACCTTGTGCCCGACATATAGTGAAAATATTATTTATTTGTTCGTAGGCTAGTTCGTGATGATGGTAACACATTCTAGTGACTGGACAAAGGGACTACTTCAAGTATATGCATTTTGCTTAAATGAATAATTATATTTAATTTAGAAATGAGTATGTACAAAAGAGATTTAGTCATATGAGAATAATTTGGTATAACAATAAATTGTAGTGTAGTTTAATATGCAAATATAATTATCAGAAAATGAACTTCAGTATTAAAACATTTTTAAATAAATTCAAGAAAACCTTATAAATTTGAAACTAAATCTTTGAAAGCATAATAAAACAAACATTTAAAAAAATCTAAAACAAAAATATAACAAAACTTAAAATTGGTACCATAACTCAAAATTTGTAACAACTCAAATTTTGTAACATAACTCAAAATTTGGTAACAACTCAAAAATTTGGTAACAACTCAAAAATTTGGTAAGGAACATTATAGTAGTTGCGTGGTCAGCGTTCATCAAACAATATAACTGTTTAACTAATAATTTCAATGCAAATTAATCTTTAAAAATAGATCTAAATCTCAAAACGTTATCCAATCGAGAATACAAAGGGCGATTTATCATCAAAATTAAATTGAACTTTAAAAATATTAATAAAAACAAAACTTTGAACTTTTTATGAAATCGTGCACATTTTTGGAGATGTCAACACTTACCCCCTTGTGTCACAACACAAACACACACTAAACAGGGAACTGGCTAGAGGACTCTGATCGTTTTTGGATCTTTCGAACTTTTATAAGTTAAGACCCCTCCAAAGGAGTTGTTTTCGCAAAATTGTTTACAAGTTACCAGTTTATTTGGGGAGTCGTAAAAGTATTTGTGTTTCCACCAAATTAGGCTTAATTAACTGTAATATGAAGATTTTTAGTGGCAAAATGTGCTTTTTGTTAAAATTAACAAATTTAAACCATGAAATTATAAAACTGGACAAAGACATCGTGTCCAGCCAAACGGCGCCAATATTTAACTGTGAAATTATAAACCTTGATTAGAATGGTGTGAAATCATAAAATCCAAGTTTCACAAGGACAACCTTGATTTTTACGACAATGACGATTGTTCTGATTCATACCAACATCTCCAAAAATAAGTAAATTTATCGCCCGTTACAACATCCTTTTGTCATGAACGACGAAGTAATATGGGCTAGGTCGGTTTTCATTTTCTGCGCAAAGTTCTTTGTTTGTACTGTCTTTTGATCCCTTTTATCATAAAAACAAGAGGACGATTGGCTGAACTATCATTTCGTCCCAATTTACCACGATCGTCAAATCCACCAATTCTTTATTTTACGGGTTCATACTGAAACCCTGAAGAAAGTCTCATTTCATCAAACATCAAGGTACAACAACGATCAAGCTCATCCATACTCTCCACTTGTCCATACAGGCCTTGTAAAACAGGCTGAATCATACCGCACTCAACGGGTAATTTTGACAAAAGTTGCTTCAAAGTTCTAACTGATGCCAATTGAAAATAGATTTGCAAATATTTATACAAACGAGGACTTCTCTTAAACATTGTCAAGGCAGAAACTTTATCATAAATAGTCCACCGCCTCCCAGATAATGGCCGATTTACGTTACGAATTTGGGAATTAATAAAATTTTTTGTTACTTCATTTAAATTGTTTTCAATGAATTGAAATCCACCATCGTTATACAAATCCTGAAGTGCATTTAAATCTAGCCTTTCATTTTTTAACAAAGTTTTAAGTTTACTCAATTTGGCCTGAATATTTCGGTGGACTGTATTATTGAAATTAAAATTCCATTCTTTCCCTCTGACAGATAAGAATATTTATTAGTGTGGTCAACCGTCTCACAAGGCCTGAACGGAGTTTGCGGTATGTTATTAATTTAATTTGACAAATACTCTTCCATGCGTTAAGTGTAAGGATTTTTGGGAAATGTATGGAATCTCAAATTAGTGTACTCTTGAAATAATCTGTTGACATAATAGGCATTTTTACAAGACGGATATCTGCAATATTTAGCGGGACGTCTTAATGAAGCACCGAGAAGGTTCGACATGTTTTGTGTATTTTGAAAAATAGCTGTATATATTTGTGTAGGTGTATGTGTTAAGTGCGTATCTACCTAGATTAACAGAGATGAAATTTAAGAAAAAAATCCAAACTTACATAGTATTTGTCCCAACTTGTCCAAATGGCGAGAAGCGAGAATGCGAGAACAAGTCAATGATGGGAACAACTGATCATTACTGTGGATGGGTTCTTTTTTTCAACAATTCCCAGAACCACTTACCTTTCGAAATTTTCGAATAAACATTTCATTTATTCCGCGTTGACTTTACGGCAATCGCGGCGCTTCAACTTGGATGTTGTTGTTGTTTGTCAATTGTCATTTTGCTGCCAAAATGTCGGTAACGCATGCGCACTACAAACACAACACCCCCACTTTCAAGGTGCAGCAAATGTCAACGAAGTTTCGAGGTCACCAATACAAGTTTCACCTCCATGCTAGTGACTGTAGGTACTTCTCTTTCTTACACATTGGAATACTGAATTGCGATACTTTGGTTATCTAGTGACTTCAGTCTGAAACATTTGAAATTTGGCAGTTTAGTTTTGATGGTTCAAGGCTGATCTTCCGGTGGAATTATTTCAGTTAAAGGTAATTTAAAATGTCTGTGTGAAAATTACACTTAACTGCAATAATTACACCGGAAGATCAGCCTTAAATCATCAAAACCAATGCAACTAAACTGCCAAATTTCAAATATTTCACATTAAAATCACTAGATAACCAAAGTACCGCAGTTCAATGTCCCAATGTGTAAGAAAGAAAAGTACCTTGCGTTGCGCGCCCTCATACGGTCACAAGACAAACGACCACCCATGAAAACGGGTCAGTAAAATTAGCGAGTTGTCTCTACTGATTGATATCTATACTGTGTTGCGGTTGCCCTTTGAAGCAACCAGTTATTCTTAAAAAAATATGGAAGACACCCCGCCAAAATCAGTTCTCAGGTTTATTACACTCAACAATTAAATCTGTCATATGAGGCGATACAATTTTCTATTTTAAAAGTTGATGACGTCATGACAGAATTTTATTAAATTTCACCAAACAACACAAGCAAGCTTCTAAATTTTATTGCTTTTAAACCGTTCAAGAAAAATCTCAAACTACAAATTTTAGCATTCTATTTAATTAAGCTGCGCTCATTCTATCGTTGAACTTAATGGTAACATCTTGGACTTTCATGTTGGGAGTCAAGAACTCCTGAAGTGTATCAACCCCTTTTCTAGGTAACCTGTCGAACGGGTAACCCATGGCACGACGATCTGGGTACAACTTATCCTTGATACCGCAATAACTCCCAGCGTCGTTGCACACTCCCGTGAGATCTTGTGTGACCTTGTCGTCTTCGTAATTGGAAATCATCACGAAGAGCTGGGAGGCGAAACCCTCCGTAGTCCCTTTTGGAATCAACATGTGATCGGGCCATCCACAACCGCAGAAGTTGAATGGAGCTGAACCTCCTGCTTGGATTTTACGGAACGTTTTTTCGAAAGGAATTGTCACCGTGGACTCATGGTGGGCCCGGGTGATGATATTCTGACCTCTCTTCACTACAACCCAGAAAGATATTAAATTAAAGGTGTTTTACGTAATCTAAGAACTTACAGTCAACGGTGAATTTGTCTAACTCGATGAACATGATCTTCTGGTCTCTGAATAACCATGGCTTTCCCGTTTCGTCATATTTCGGCGCAAGGAAGATTCTGCAGGTGCCTTGTTTGTTACAGTTGGACTGGTTATTGACGCTAATCTTGAATGTAAATGGTTCGTGCTGCAAGTGGGTGAACCTCACGAGAACGGAGCCTTCAGCATGAAAGTCCATTCCTGCGGACAAATCCACTTCTGATTGTTGCCAGAAGGTGTTGAAAGTGTTGTTGGGGCTTCTATGCGACTGGACTTCGATCTCGCTCACGGTGATACCAGGGTAGTTCAGTTGGCTCTCGCTGTAACGGGGCAGAGTGGCTTTATATTCTTGAAATATGTCGTCGATGTACGAGTGCCATCTATAGAAAACTGGGTCCCGCATGGCCGTCGCCGTATCACCCATGACCCCGAATGATTCAAGGTGGCGATTGTCCGGGTCGTGAATGTATGCGATGAAATCGTGACCCATATTGTGTAGCTCCCCATATAAGGCACGGTTAGGCGAGAGGATGCTAGGCTCGACCATGTTACCCAAGATATCTATACCTCTGCTTTCGGTGAGATTGATGATGCACCCACGTTCCTAAAAGTTTTATTATCAATCTGTGACGGTTTTGGAGTCTTACTTACGTCGATGACACTTCCTTGGTGAATGGCGGCAAAAATCTGGTCGCTCCACCTCTTCAAATCTTCAACATCTTGCTTCGCCTCTTTTCTATTTAAATCCCTGATTCTTTGGTTGACAACCCTCGCCGGATACGACTTGCTGTTCGACGAAGTGTCCAGCTTAGGGAAATAAGCTTCCTCAATTTCCTCCGTCCAGTCCAACTTCTTGGTCCTCTTTAAGTCGTTGCACAACCTCTCGTAGTTGTACCTTGCGATGATCTGCTGGTGCATGTAGTAGAACAGTTCTCCCCTACGATCCTTATCCACGATTTTTTTCGTCGCTTTGATCGGGTACACCAGATGCCAATGCCAATGATGTAAGTTGATCCCAAAATCCTCCCTGAAGTACGCCAGCCGGTGCTCCACCTCCAGGTCCGACGCCGTCTGGGGAAGTTCGATGGGTTCCCTTGAGCTCCCGGGGTTCATCATCGCCTGCTCTCTCGCTTTGGCGAACACCTTGGAATCTACGAACTTGTTGGGGAAGGACGTGATGAACGGTGGCAGCTCGGTATCCTGGGTGTCCGGTCGGTGTAGCATGGCTACGGACAGCGCGTAGTTAAATAGGTAGGGATTCACGCAGTCCCGAACGCACACCGCTGTGGACAAGAGGTCATCCACGTTGGGGATATCCATGAAGATGTCGATGAGCTTGGCGGCGATGTCGCGGTGCTTGGGAATAAACAGCGAAAAGTTTTCATCACGCTCCAATTCGAGGCATTCGCCTAACGAAGGGATGGAGGTCTTCTTGACGACGATGCGCTCTTCGTCGTCTTCGGCGAAGCGGCTTCTGACGTGGGGTGCCTTGGACTTGTAGCGGGGGTTGACGTTGAAGTACTCTTCGGTCACTTCGAAGACGGTTTTCTTGGGACCCTTTGCCATAAAGACGGGCTCGAGCGGTCGGTCGAAAAGGAGGGTGAGGTTTTCCTTGGTGGTGGACATCGTGGCGTAGCTAGGGGATTATTTTTTATTATTGGTGCTTTTTTAAACTGCAATCTATACATGTAACAGTTATAACAGTAATTTTAGTAATATTACCAGCCCGATGTTCGTACTTAGGTTGGTATTAGCCGTGCCACTAATAAGTGTCAAATGTAACATTCGTAAAACCAATTTGAATTACGAATTTTCAACGCAAACGTTTACTAATAAAAAAGGCAAGCTAAGTTCTATATGTAACCCCACCATTTTCAAATTTTGACGGACGATACAACTGTTGATTTGTTGCCAAATAAATTTGGAAGTTAGGTGTTTTGTGGTGCGGATGCTGACTTCCAATGCTACTAACCCAAAATTCATTAGGTAAATATACCCTAAATATTGAAATCAAAACGTGAACAAAAATGCTTTTTTACCATTTCAAACTAAAATTGGCGAGCTATAATAACTATTAGGACAATAATTTTTTTTATATCAAAAATTAATTTTGGCACGTTAATGTATTTTTGGGCTGCCATAGTTGTAATTGACATTTTACGTTGACACGTGGCGTGCCGAAAATACAAACGAGGAATTTAAGCTTTGAAAAAATAAATTGATTATCACAAAGCAATTACTACTAATTGATAATCGTGTCTCTAAAGTTATTACATATAACAAAAAGTGGCTCGAAAGTAAAAAAAAAGTGCAATTTAAGTTGTAATCTTAAATAGGGGAATTTGTTGATCAAAATTTGGATTGGCAGTAATTTGACAGTTGACACTACTCGGTGGTTTACAGGGAATCAATAGATTACCGTGGCCTTCCAACAGCCCAGATTTGAATCCTATAGAGAATATCTGGGCACGTATGGCCAAATTTATTTTTACACATGATTTTCGCCCACAAAATATTGGCGAGTTGCAAGAAAAACGGCGGAATAACAAAATATTAATCGTTTATTTATTAAAATATTGTTTATTAGTTCATTGTTTCTAAAAATGAAAATGTACGTGCTGTTCAGATGATTCCGGTGTCATTAATAATAGAGCCCAAAGACTTTTTTCGAACATTCAACCAAAGATATTCTCTGCTTTCTCGTTTAACCATGCGACAAACCACCAGAAAATCATCAAATACACTATCTGAACATAATGCACAATATTTTTGTATGTATACGCATTTTCCATCTTATGCGTTTTTTGAAAACACTAATTGTCTGTTGTTCTTTTTTTCGATTGACTTTGAATTCTAGAATAAAAGCTCGTGACATTAGAGAGAAAAAAAAAAAAAAACAAAACGAAAATTGCAGTCTGTCGCTTACGAGTAGAATTGTTAAATTTTGAATCGAATTTGGGTTTACAATTGATATAGTTTTACTAAATTCAGACATTTTTTTAAGTTTATTATGTTTGACGTGTAATGAAATGTCGAAATGCAATAGTATATGTATAAATTAAAAACCACTAAATAGTGTCCTCTAGCAGACAATAAAATTTATTTTTAAAATAGTAATGTTGGTAACCCCAGCGGATTCCGTGTTCAGTTTGATAGTAGCGGTCCAATAATTGTCAAACAAAGTGTCAAATAGCCTCAATGTCAACATCATTATTTTAAAATTAAATTTCATGACTCACTAGAGGACTTTATTTCATCATATAGTATAATAAATGAACAACACCTTTAAAACTGTGCAGCTGTTTGGCAATTTTGTATATAAGCAGTAATTATTAATAAGGAATTAAAAATAACAATTACTCACATTGTAACAACTGTTGCCGTGTAATGTAGTACTGATCACAACAACCTACGATTTTTATTTTGCGAGGATAAATAATATAGAACAAAATTATCTTATTTATTTACAATGGGCGTTCCAGAAATTCGATAAGAGACGCTTACTCAGTTCAGATTGAAAAGAATCCGGGCCGTGCCGTTGAGTTTCAAAGGAATTGGGTAAAGGCCACCCCACTACTGAAAAAATTTCTTCCAATCATTCTGAGAGATCACAGGATTTTCGTTGCCGAGCGTTTTTCAGAAATTCTAATCTGTTTTTTTGAAAAAACTTGTATTGCATGGAAAATTTTGTCACAAAATGTAGTCGGCTATGAATTAAAACTTATTTATTCGCACTGAATATTGTCAAGTACATGAAATGGGAGGTCGTCAAATGTACGATGATAAATCGGTCAGAGCTGCATTTGGTTTAGTCGTGAACCGGTCATTCTCAAAAATCTATAGAGGCGTTACATTACATCGATGCATTTGATTATATGATGAATGATGAATTGATGATATATCCCGTCTACACATTTTTCAGGGCCAGCACAATTCAGTGGACTTCCTCTTACACTCATCGAGTCACGTTAGTCAAAAATTAGAAATCTAAAAGTCAAAAGAGGCAAAACCGGTGAATTTACGATTGTGTAGTAAGAAAACTAATGTTGGTGCACTTTTTAAATTTTACGATTTGGCAGTTGGGGATAAATAAAACTTTTTCTGAGACGCCATTTCTGAGTGCGAAGTATTTTAGTCGCTGTAGATTAAAAGAAAAAATTACTCACCTTTGTGTACTAAAAGAACGATATTTTATAAGAGCTAGACCAAATTATCATGTTTATATTCGTGTCGTTTTTAAATCATTCCATTTAACATTATCAAATCACATAAATTTTGCTGAATTCACGTTTAATCTTCTTCAAAGACGCATTCTTGAGGGAAGACGAAGACCGATGACTTAGAGCAAAAATTAACTTGATGTCTCGTAGACTTATATTTTTGAAGTGTTTTACAGTTCTGTCTTCAATGTTTTAGTTGGGTTTTGTTCTGATTTTTTTAAAGAAGACCACAAGTGTTAACACTGGAAAAAAATGAAAAACAATCGTTTATGATTGATTGATATTCCTAATCATGTTTGGCCCTTTCGATTCACTCCCGTAATTCGTCATTGCATATGAAAACAGCTTGCACTAAAGTATCCGAGTACCACTTTTGTTTTAATACGAAAATTGTAGCAAGCACAAGAAGTTTGGGTCGTAAAAATCTTTAAGAAGGAACTAAAAAAATAATAGTGGCGGAAATGCTACAAAAAATAAATACTGGAGATTTTTTCTCTTTTTGCACGCGAACATAATGTAGTTATTTATCACTGGGAGATCAAAAAGATTTAAGGCCTGATGTTATTTAATCTGTTGAGTGCTAACTTTGTCGCTTAAAACCGACAATGGACTTGAACATGAAAATCTGTAACAAGACAACAAAAAAAATAAACACAGCGTTTAAAGTAAACAATTTAATCAAAAAGCAAACAGACTTGAATACACAACCTTGGCTTAATTTACAACTGCAAAAATTCACTCCAATAACTTTAACTACGTATATCTACATATACAATAATGTTACCACCGCATCGTCACAAATTACTACTGTGTACTGTGTGTAGTACTACTCACACAATAAAATCTAGGAGTATTAAATTCTAAAAGTGTTTTTCTTAATGTGTATAAAACAATGAAAAAATAGTGTTTAAACTATTACACTTCCGTACAAACATTAAATTTGTTTATTTATGATAACTTATTATATGTATTTTGTTGGAGAAACATAAAACAATCTTGTACTCTAGCATGAAGAAACTATACTATAATTACAAATTAACATAATAGCGAAACATAGAAGTCATGCACAGCAGCTAAAGTTTAAATTTATATAAATAGCCGTCTCGGCCTTCAGATTCTTATCATGGTTTGTTATCCAGGATTACAACCTTCGGGTTTTTTATCATGGCCTTCTATCCTGAATTATTACCCAAATATTTAATTATATACATACTGACTGATCGTCGTTCTATTTGCAATTTCTGATCCGACGGGTAGTAGGGATAAATAAATTTTCATCGCCCAGCTCTAGTAATGAGTAATGTCTGTTATTTTAGTAAGAAAATTCTTAGTTCTTGACAATCTTCTTCAGTCTTGAAACCTCTTAACTTCTCAAGAGATAAAATTAAAAATAAACTCTTAAAAAAAAAGAAAACACAAAGCAAGTCTCCTTATTCCTGTTCAGGATCTGAATTTTCCTCTTCGGAATTTGACTCATATTGTATAATAAACTTTTCAAATTCCCACCTTCGTTCTCGTTGGAACTGTCATGATTTTCGTTTACAGTCATTTTTGGTTTCGTTAAATTATTATCCACTTCATCTAGTACTGCTGAATTATATTTAACTGAAACCATTTTTTTCATTCTTGTCAACTGTACATTTTTTTTTTGTTTTTACATTAAAGAAGGTCCTCCAATTTCTCTCGCAAGGGGCTGCAGTTTAGTCATTTCTCGTTGCTCACACAATCCTTTCCAGCACGGTAATGGACAAACATAGCCCTAATCTCGTGTTATACTCACTAATATCAGCAATCACAATGCTTGGATCTAAATCATATGATTACACATTTTGATGATAAAATCTAATGCCTCTTGTTCATCATCTTCACACAAATATTCCTTAAATTTTGGATTTAAAAGTTGAGCAGCCAATTCCGCAGGACGAAAGATGAAGGTTTGACGATTTATTGCAGCTTGAATTGTCCTTTGGTCCTGCTCACCCAGAAATTGCATGTTTTTTAAAATGTCAAGTTGCATTTTTTCAATTTTTGTATGGACATATGATAAACTCGGGTTGTCTCCCTCAATTTCTGTTATTAGATTTATAGATGCTTTCCATTGTAGGTCAGAATTGTTCAAAATACACAAAATAATTATTGCGAAATAAATTCCCTCTCTCTCCTCCCTCTTCATCATCAAAGCTCTAACATTGTACAAGATCTATTAAAAATACTTTCATAATCTTCAATACTGCCTTAAAAACTAGAATTTGAATATTGTAGGCTTTCCCCCATTGATGCAGATTTTCAGATTAGGTAGGTCAAAATATATGTGCAATCAAGAATCATAGATTAGATAATTTAGATAATAAATTAACTTACGAAATAGTGCGAAAGTATTAAATTTGGGAATAATTAAAGAATTTAAGGGCTCGCAGTGGCGTTGAAAAAAGATCAATCTTATTATGTGTTCTATTTTCGATCCTACACATAGTGGACATAGGAGAGAATGTAGAAAATTTCAAAGTGGCAAGATACTACACTTCGAAGATGTGCATTAAATGATAATTTGGCTAGCATTAAAGGAGAGTCAACACTGTTATTTATCATTTTAACTAGGAACAACACAAGTTTCCGTAACACTGGAGAAAGTAAAGCGATTTAAAAGCCAATAGGTGGGTAAAAACCATTCTTTCGGTAAAACAAATATTCAAGAAACCTTCGTATGACACGTTCCAGATGCATTAAATGAATGTTATGGCGAGGACACCAAATTATGCAAGCTTAGTAAAGTTTGCTGCCAATTAATAAATTAAAAAGTCGAATGATAGTGTCACAATATTGTAAATCTCTAGAGTTCCTTATGATGAAACCCAAAGTTTTCATGCAGTCTGCCACAACTTTGTTAATATGATAAGCAAATGAGAGCCTACTATCAAAAACAACCCCAAGATCCAAAAAGGTCTGAGGGCTGGCTAAGACTACCCCATTAAGAACGCATTCAAAGCGAATACTATATCGCTTTAAAGAAAATGACATTACATAACATTTATTTTGATCTAACAAAAGCCTGTTTAAATTGCACCCTACCACAATCCTATTCAAATTATGTTGTAACTTAAGGCAGTCATCAGTTGAACTTATTCTATTGTATATCTTGATGTCATCTGCATATAAAGAAAATTCAACATCTAATTCATTCGAGATATCATTGATGAACAATAAAAAAAGAAGCGGACCCAGTACAGAACCTTGTGGTACTCCCGATAAAACAGTAATAACATCAGAATCATATCCACAGCAATTGACATATTGTTTTCTGTCACCTAAGTACGACCAAAAAAAGCTAATTAATTGCATATTCAAGCCCAAAGTATAGAGTTTATCAAGTAATATACCATGATTTAGTTTGTCAAAAGCTTTTGAAAAATCAACATATATTACATCAATCTGTAGTCCACAATCGATCGACTGCGATAAACTGTGTCGCACAAAGAAGATTTGTTACTGTAGCGCGGTCACTCATAAAGCCATGATAACGCTCTGTAATTGAAGTGGCTACTTGAAAATACAGTTGTTTATAAATTAAAGATTCAAAGATTTTTTGCAAAATTATTAAGAATTTTGAAGCAGTTCGAATTTTGCCTTTATGAACAGGATTGATTTTGGAAAGTTTCCAACAATCTGAAAATGTTCCTAAGTTAACACAGATATTAAAAAGAACAGATAACGGTTTAATTAAAACTCGAGCACAATCTTTTATGATAAATGCTGGTATATCGTCAGGACCCTGAACACTGTTTGATTTAACTCTATTGATAGCTTCAAGCATTTCATTTTTACTAATGATAGACACATTTATGTTCACATTTGTAAGGTCATATTTAGGTTTGTTAAGGTTTGTACGGTCATATTTAACTTTGTTAAGGTTACAGCTAAAACTAAGGCTGATTCATAAAACTGGGCAAACGCATTAGCAATATTTTTAGCTCCTGTCACAACAGTATCACCAAGAGTCACACAAGATGGTATGCCGGTGTGTCGTCTTTTGCGTCGTATATAATCCCAAAAAGTTGACTGATCAGACTTGACGAAAAATTACAAATGACTTTAGACGTTCAGTTCGGTTTTCGAGCGGCGCACAACACCACGCAACAAGTCGCGCGGATAGTCGCGGCCACAATCAATAACTTCAATCACAACAAAAAAACGTCATGGCACTCCTCGATATTGAAAAAGCTTTTGACAGAGTATGGCTGGAGGGCCGCATT